GAGACTGAGAAGGATGGGTTCAATAATGTATAGTGCATTGAAACAGATGAGGGCGAAAACTCTTTAAAAGGGATATGTCATTAGGTATTTTTGTCATGACGGGAGTCTAGAGCTAAGGCTACATGGTGGAGTGGACCTGGGGGAGGGTTTGTAAAACAATGGAAGAGGGAAGTGTACTAGGGGGGAGGGTTGGGAGGGGAGAAAAGTGCAACAGTGAATGAATGGAAATAAAAAACAAAAAAGGAATACTATGGGGGGGAAGAATGCCATGCATGAATGTATTCATATCTTTTTTTCTGTATTGAATATAACAGAGAAATAATATAAATAAGTGAGCTCTGGTGGCCTAGTGGCAAGAAGCTGCACTGCAATCTTCTCCTGCACCAGTTGGATCCAATTTGACAGTACACACACACAAAAATAATAAAATAAAATAATTTTTTTAAAAAAATAATGTAAATAATGTAAATAAAAATAGTATGACAAAAAAAAGAGAATGTTTCTCTCTATATGTCAGCTTCTCCTTTGTTGTTGTTGTTGTTGTTGTTGTGATGTGCTGTCAACATGTCCAAAGTATGTTAGACAGAGCCCCAGAATCCTTGCCTCCAAGGAGCAGCCCGGTTTAACCCTCTCCAGAATGAATCTGTTTGTTTTCCTAGCAGTCCATTGTACCCTCAATACTCTTCTCCAGCACCACAGCTCAAAGGCATCAATTCTCTTTCTATCCTCCTTAGTCACTCTCCAACTCACTGATGCATAACAAGTGATAGCAAAGACCATAGCCTGTATCAGACACACCTTAGTCTCCGGAGAGACACCATTGCTCTTCAGTACTTTGGAGAGGTCCCTAACAGCAGACTTTCCCATGGTGATATGTCTTTTAATTTTCTGGCTACTGGTGCCAAGAGTGTTGACTGTGGAGCCAAGCAAACTAAAGCTGTGAATAATCTCATTGATAATAATGGGTGACTGGAATGCAAAAGTTGGGAACAGAGAAGATTCAGTAGTTGGACAACATGGACTCATGGACTCGGTGAAAGAAATGGAGCTGGAGAGAGAATGATTGAATTTTGCACAATCAATGACTTCTTCATTGCAAATACATTTTTTAAGAGACATAAACGCAGGCTATATACATGGATATCACCTGATGGTATGCATAGGAATCAGATCGATTACATCCGCAGAAAGAACCGCTGGAGAAGCTCAATATCAGCTATGAAAACTAGGCCAGGAGCTGATTGTGGAACAGACCACCAACTACTCACATGGAAGTTCAAGCTGAAGCTGAGGAAAATTAAACCAAATCCACAGGAACTTCTCCTTACCTTTCTGTAATATTGGACTCTATAGTATTTTTTCTTTTGTAACTGACCTCTTTCACTCAGCACATGTCCTGCACATTCATCCTTGTGTGGTGTTTCTTGAATGCTTCCTTGTCTTTAGTGTTGCACAGCACTCTTGTGCATGTATAGTTTTTTAATTCATTCATCCATGGATGGCACTTGTGTAGTCTCATCTCTTTGCTGTTGTAAAAGTGCTGCAGCAAGCATGGGTGTGCGGGAGATGGTGGGTCTCACCAGAACCAGCAGTTCCTGTCTCTCATGTTTGCCTCTGTCTGCTGCTTGTCCCTGCTGTTTGGTTTTTAATTACTGCATATTACTCTTTGCTTGGATGAGTGAAAGGAGCCCTTGGCAGGTAGGGGGCATGGACCCTGAAGAACAAGGGATTCATGACCAAACAGAGGTGTGTATGTTAGTAACCCTTAGGGCCCTTTCACCAGAGGGAAGTTAATACCTGAAGCCATCGTCAGTCACTGCTTGGTTTGGGGAAAGATCTCCCAGGTGGCCAGAGCCCTTAGACCAGAACGGAGCACCTCTTCAGGGGCCACAGGCAGCTGACGTTGGCCCTGACAGTGGCCCCACAATGCAGTCTGTGGTTTTCTTTTCCAGCTGCCTACAACTTTCTGGCAACGGAAGACATAAATGGGGACAGGATCCAGGATGTGCTCTTTCTTTACAAAAATGCCAACAGCAGCAGCCATCCCAACCGGTCCTGCATCGAGGAAGGTAACTGAGTCTTCACCCAGAAAGGATGCTCTCCAGGGGTGCCCCTGTGGGCCCCCTGTCACTCCTGTGGTGTCTGGGGAGTTGGCAGTGGAACTAGAGGAGACCACCTACCTTCTTTCTGGACAGCTGTGTCAGCCATAAGGTAGCTCAGCACATTGCCCTCCTGATGACCACTGCAAGAACCCCCCAGGCAAGAAAGAGTCTGAGCACCAGGCCGGGGAGGAGATAAGAGTAGGGGCTGCAGACACAGTGTTCCCCCAAGCAGTGGATGACCTCTGGCTGTACCGTGTCTCCCACAGGCTTCTCTGTTCCCTGCGCCTTCTTTGCTGCAGTGTCCGGAGCAAATGGCAGCCTTCTGTGGGAGAGGCCTGTGGCACAGAACGTGACACTGGTGCAATGCACCAGCCCTCAGCCAAGGGGTAGTGAGGTGGTGCCAGTCTGTGCCATCGTGGATGGGCCCACCTCTGTGGTGGCAGTAGACCTCTTCACAGGTAGGCCACCAGGTGGGCAGCACTCACATGGAACAAACAGGAAGAAGGGGCTTTGTCTGGTCAGCCCCTCAAGAGATCTTGTGGAACTCTCTGTCTTGGCTCTAAATGTAGAAGGTATCAGCATGTCTCTTGTGATGTAGTTTTCAGCAGGTAGAGACCAATGAAGAGTGCCTAGGAACATTTTAGAAAGGAAGACTTGCTTCACAGGCAGGGATTGGACCAGGCCACTTCTGTCTGCCGGGGCCCTCCTTTGCCCCTTCTCTTTGGGGTCAAAGTATACAGTAGAATGGGTTCCCAAGAAGTGGTGAAGGTAGTCCCTTTTCCGTCAGGTAAGCAGTGGCATCTACTCTGGCCCCAGGATGCTCCAACTTCACACTTGTCTCTCAGGAGCCCCTGAGCAGAGAAGAGAGAGAACACTGCAGTTCTCACCTATGCTTATGTCATGGTGGCTTAGGTCATGTTTTTGTTCCTTGGATCAGAGGTATCTTAGCCTCGTGGGTGCAGTGAACCAGCCTGTATTCTTTGCAGCTTCTTGGAACCAGCACGGCTGGTTTGGAGTGACTGCATGTTTGGAGTCAATACTCACTGGTTGTGTATGTGTTTAGGGGAGACCCTGTGGAACCATCCAGGCAGCCTTGAAGGGAATTCATCTATCTTGAGCCTCTTGCTTGGGGTGCCAGATGTCGATGGTGATGGACTCCCTGACCTGCTGGTCCTTACCAAAGAGAAAGAGGAGGTAAAAACAGTCCATGCCTTCCAGTGCTCACTGGGCCTGAGCCCTCCAGTGCACTCTGGGCCCGAGACCTCCAGTGCTCGCTGGACCCGAGACCTCCAGTGCACGCTGAGCCCAAACTCTCCAGGACATTTTGAGCTCAAGTCCTCTAGTACATGCTAAGCCTGGGCCCTCCAGTGCACGCTGAGCCCAAACTCTCCAGGACATGCTCAACTCGAGCCCTCCAGTGCATGCCAAGCATGGGCCCTCTGGTGACACAGAGTCCTCCAGTACATAGCCCCCCATGGCCTGTGCTCTCCAGTTCACATGGCCTGTGCTCTCTCTGCACCCAGAAAACTGAGGAGAGCATGTCTTCCAAGCAGGCTACCAAGACGGGCTTACAATCTCCCAGGCAGGAAGACCAGGGCCTACATTCAGTACTATGGTACCAACCAGGGGCTTCCTCTCTGTCAGGGAGTAGTCAGGTGGATATCTGACCCTGAGGCCTCTTTTGTGCCAGGTGAACAGCTACGTCTACTCAAGCAGCACTGGGAGCCAGGTCGGTGGCAAAGGCAGCCTTGGCTCAAACACAGAGGGCAACTGGCTCTTGCATGTCACCAAGACGGGTGCCTATTACCTCCTCTTCTCCTGCGGTGGGTGCCACCTCTTCCCTCATGTGCAGGAGGGCAGTGGGGCAGGGGGCTCTGGGACCCACAAGCCATGAGCATCAAGAGTTGGCTTAGTGCCTGGTCACCAGAGCAGAGTGGTCTGCAGCCTTGGGGAAGTGCTTTGTGCCTGGAAGCTAGACATTGGCCCAGGGCAGTGACACTCACTCTGTGTGCCAAGCAGGACACTCCCTTTGCAGCCGGTCCATGAAGGATCTGCTGGAAGAAATGACAGGAAAGGAGATTCCCCTCAAGAGGGACCCACTCTGGGAACAGGCCATCAACTCCACCACCCACAGGGTGTCCTCACCTAGGTGGGTCCTAATGCCCAGGGGGGATGGAGCGGGCTCAGGGTCCCAGAGATAGGGGACTCTGTCACTCGGGACTCCTCTCATAGCACAAGACCCCAAAACGTAGGCAGTAAAAGAAGAAAATGAGGGGAAATGTGCCCAGTGTGGTCTTCATGTTCTGAAGAAACATGGGGTGTGCAGATGGGCCAGGGGGCTTCAGCCACAACTACAAGACCTGTGCCCACCACCCCAGTAGCTCTGGAGTCATCCGCCACCAGCTGCATGTTCCCGGGAAAGCTGGCAAGGACCTGCTCCTGGTGGGCACTGAGGCCTGTGTGCTGCTAGATGGGCAAAATCTGGCACCTAAGTGGACCCTCGGTGATGCTCAGGTCTTCAGGTGAGCGTGGGGCCCTCAGGTTGCCAGCATTTGTCACACCATGGTGAACAGCCCATCCCTGCTGATGAGGTGTCACCTCAGGTAAATGATCCCACCTCTGGGGTCCAGGTGCAGCCCCAGGAAGAAGGTGGGCTGAGGGTGTCTGTCCTAGAATTCCATCTTTTCCCTGCTCCCCCTCTAGAAAGCCTGTTCTTGGTCACTATAAACCGGACACCTTGGCAGTGGTCATTGAGAATGGAACCGACGCTGACAGACAGGTGGGCTGGAGGTGCCAGGTCCCTAGAAGCTGCTGCTGAGCCGGGAGGGGCCTGGGTGAGGCAGACCCTGCCCAGTGCCCACAGCTGCCCTCTCCCCAGGTACTGCTCCTGGACCTCAGCACTGGGGCCATCCTGTGGCGGCAACCCCTCCCAGGCCTCTCCGGGACCCCCCAAGCTGCCAGCCTGTTGACCGCAGATCACCGTTCTGCCTTCTTCTTCTGGGGTCTCCCTGAAGGAGTTTGGGCAAACCAGACAGTAAGGAGAGGGACACAACGTCTGGGCCAGCCCATGCTAAGAGCGAAAGTGAGAGACTATTCTGCCCTGAGACTGACTGGGGACAGTGTCTGTGGATAGAAGAAGCCACGAGGGTGAGGCCAAGACATCTGAGGTCAGAGCCAGGAACCAGATGGGGATGCAGGATTCCAGGAGTGACAGACAAGAAGCTTGGGATCCTGTCAACAAAAATGACAGGGAACAGCCTGAGGGGCTGGAGGAGGGAGACAAGTGGAAGTATATGTGTAGAGGGACCTGGTGGGCACCTCAATGGATCAGCAGTCCTAGGTTGTCTCCTGGCATATGGTATGATTCAGGTGGTCAACTGAGAGATGGTTGTCTCCTCACTTCAGGAGACCAGGGACACCCTACACAGCCTCTACATGTTCCACCCCACCCTGCCTAATGTCCTTCTGGAACTGACCAACGTTTCCAGCAACATTGTCGCCTTTGAGGGTGAGTATACCTCGAGGGGTCCAGGGACAGAGGTAGAGATGTCCTCAGGGCCTACGGTCAGGGCAGGGTCCTCATGGGATCCTGGAGCAGGGTTCAGGGGCCCAGGGCCCAGCGGCAGCCCTGACAGTTGTACCTCCTGCAGCTGTCCTCTTTGAACCAAGCCGCCACGCTGCCTACGTCGTGCTGACTGGACTGCAGAACCTGGCCACACCTGGCCCGGTCTCGCTGACCAAGCACAAGATTCGAGACTGCATCCCAGACAGCAGGGTTTTACACCTTGGCCAGGACCGGGACAGTAGTGACCAGGTCATCAGGGACCACTTCTCTCGGCTGCGGTACCGGAGCGAGGCGTGACACTGTCACCAGAAGTCAACAGGGTCAGCCTCGCCACTGCAGACCAGCAACCCTCCCAGCTGTCTCGGTGCTGCCCAGGGCCACCACCCTGCTGTCCCCACTACCTGTGGCTGTGCCTGTTTGGGATGATAAGGGGCCAGTGTCCTGCTGTCCCTGCTACCTAGGTCTTGTCCTGTGTGATAAAGGGACACTTCCCCACTGTCCCAGTCATTTGGGACTCATCCAGTGTGACGAGGGGACACTGGCCCAGTGTTCCCTCTTCTCTCCTGGAAAGACCCTTACACAGTTTACTCTTGAGGCCTCAGAGAAAGGTCCTTGATGGTCCTTGATGCTTCTCTCCTGTGGAGCCCAGATGTCTCAGGGTGCCTGGCCATCCCCAGCGACCCTCAGAGGTGCCCCCTTCCCTTCTCTGCTCCACTTGGGGTTAGCTTGTAACAGCTTGGCCTTCTTCTTCCTCACCCCCCCATCTCCCTCACTCCCCATCTCCCTCGCTATAGTGCCTCTGTGTGGCCAATGACTGCACTGACAACAGCCCTTCTGACCCAGCCCACAGGGAAGTACTGGGGTCCCATCCACAAGGGGCCCCTGCGGTGTGACCTATACCACTGTGCACTGCAGGTATGCCCTCCCTGTGCTCACTGCTAAAGCTGGGCTGCCTGCTGCTGGACTCAACTCTGTGCCTTGTGACCCAGCCAGGATGGCTGTCAAGCCCAGCCCCCTTGGACTTCCCAGGGCCGAGCCTCCGGACACCAAGCCTAGGAGGCAGTGAATAAATGTTGCACTGTCCTGTTTGGAAGCCCCCAGGCTGGACTAAGCTCTGTGTCCATCTTTCTATCTACCCCCAAAGCCCTTGGAGCAGTGGCCTGCAGGTTTCAGAGTTGGGTCAGGTGGGCAGTGGAGGAGGTGAGGGGCCCTTCACTCAGGGTTGTCATAGGCCCCACACAGTCAGCTGGGGTCAGAATGCAGTTGTGTCCTGCACCACAGCAAGCCAGCCCTGCCCCACCCCTTTCTGAAGGTCAGGCAGGGTCTATGAGTGACCTCCTAGGACCAGAAACAGAAAGTGATGAGGCTTTCCAAGCCCCCAAAAACGTCCATTAGGCCTTGAGACAGAAGTCTATTTCAGAGACTCACAAACCATAGTCCCCTGTCACTAGGATCTGGAGAGGGCGCTCTGGCACGGGAAACCCTTGTCCCTGAGAAACCCCTGCCAAGGTGTCTCCACACAACGTGACTTCATAGAGCAGAGCTCTAAGTGGAGACCACACGGGCAGGTAAGGCTTCTGGCTCCCATCAGCCAGCCATGCTGCTGGGAAGGGTCTGATTGCCCAGGGCCAGTCTCAAGTTCCCACTGCAAATGATGGGGCCAGGGACCTGGATCTAGAATGTGGCCTCTGGGTCTTTGATCCTCTTCTCCCCTGTAAATGCTGCCAGGTCCACTGACTCCAGACCCCACTACCCAGATCTCCCAAGACCGAGGAGCCCTGTCATACGGTGACCCTCTATAAACAGCACGACAGCCCCACTGTCCCAGCACCTGCCCAGAGTCCCGTAGCCACCAACACACAGGACCCTGCCACACATACCCCAACACGGCTCCCCAATGACCCAGCTGTGAAAGTCCACAGCCAGGCTTCATCGGTCAAACATCCTACTCGACAGACCTTCACCTGTCCCTGCATCTTCACACGGGTGCGCATACACACACGGAGCTCTGGTGGCCTAGTGGTAAGAAGCTATGCTGCAGTCTTTTTTTTTAATTTTATTAATTTTTGTGCATGTACTGTCAAATCAGATCTGACTGGTACAGGAGTAGATTGCCCCTCCTTCTCCAGCAGAGCATCTGGTGGATTCAAACCATGTACCTCTGGGATTGCAGTGCAGCTTCTTGCCACTAGGCCACCAGAGCTCCCTTATGCTGCAGTCTTAAAGGACCGTAGTTCAAATCCACTAGTGGTTCTGTGAGAGAATGATGAGCACTCTCTTGTGCAATTTACTACCTTTGAAAATCTGCTGGAAGGTCAGCTCTGACTGGGTTCCAACTTGACGGCACACAACAATAACAAACCAGCCCTTTAGGGGAGTGCGCTCATGCACACACATTTACACATATGCACATATGAATACACCTGCCCTTAACGTGTGTTCTCACATGTCCCCACACCTGCCCTCATCTCACACACATACACAAGGATATACAGCCAGCTGGTGCTCAGCCAGGTATTTATTTCTGGAGGAGAGAGGAGGTTGAAGCTGCTTCGAGGGACACCAGGCTAAACCTATAGCCTGGGCCTTCCCCTCTGGAGCTTGTCTAGGGAAGGGGCTGAGGCACCACCAGCCAGAGGCTGGCCCACCCTGCAAACTCTGAGCCAGAGGCTTGTTGGCATCCAGGGGCTTAGCCACCTGCTGGACACAGCCTGGAGCAGGGGCAGGGAGTGGGTCCAGTGACCATAGAAATGGCCCAAGATAACTGTTGGCAGGAAGGGAACTGTGTGCAGGTAGGAAATTCTGGGTTCCCCACTTAGTGGTAGGCATCACCTGCTGGAGACCACTTGTTTGCCTGGCCAACCCAAATCCCCACTGCTTCAGCCATCCTGGGGCTGTGAACACCAGCACCAAGGTCCTGCCTGTCCCCCTCAGTGCTGAGCAGACACAGGTCCTGGTGCTGGTCTGCCCACCTGGACCATCATCACACACAGGCCTGCAGCCTCTTGCTGGGAAGCAGAGGGTGAGCAAGGCCCTCCAGGAGGTGAGGCCTCACCAGAGGCGGCAGCCTGAGGACAGAGGGCTGGTTCTGGGTGGCTGAGAACTAAAGGCTATTAGGTGAGGATGCTGGCCCACCTAGACCTCCCTGTCCCCACCCCCGGGAACAGCCATTCCAGGCTCCCCCGAGGGGGGAAGGAGGGCAGGACTGGGGCTGGAACGACGCTGCTTCCGCATAAATGGGAACACCCTGTGGGTGGATAAGAAGATGTGAGTGTCTGGAAGGGGCAGGTGGACATGAGGACAGGCCCAGCCAGCACTCACCGTCTCCTGGTCTCTGGTGGAATTACAGCTTCGGCCAGCAGGCTCTTGTACATGTCAGACTTCAGGAAACGTGGGTAGGAGTCCTGCAAAAGATGGACCCTCAGCCAGCTTCCCGCAGAAGTGGTGGGCGTACGCTACATATTGCCCCCAGGAGCACCCAAACTTCAAATCAGACAGGGTGGATAGGAGAGAAGCCCCAGAGGACAGGAGACCTTGCCCAGAGGACAGGACCTGGGAGCTAAAAAACAAGGCAGAGGGAAAGGGTGGAGGACAGAACAGTGGCGAGGAATCTTTGTATATTGTGGCTTGGGTTTGGGTTGTGTTTTTTTTTTTTAATGTCCACTTTAAATTGTTCAGTTCAATGAGGGGCAAGAACAACAGGACAGTACCAGATTGACTTGAATGTACCTCAATTAGATTTGACATAAAACGTGCCAAATTTCTAATTCTAAAAATAAACAAAACCCAAAACTCCCTGTTGTCGAATCATCACAACGCTGTAGAACAGAGTAGAACTGCCCCACAGGGTTGCCAAGGCTGCGCTCTCTTGACGAGACTGCCCCTCCTTCTCCCAAGAGCAGCAGGTGGATTTGAACAGCTGACCTTTTGGTTTGCAGCTTAATGTATGTTACTTGCTGAGCCACCGGGGGTCTGGCCCACCTTCTTCATGAGCATGTAGATGTGCAGCTGGGCATCATCGAGCACATATCGGTGTGGCTGCCGCAGCCCCACCAAAGTCCGCTCCATTGTCCGGCTGTCAATGTTGACCCAACGGGCTGCACCAGGTGCCAGGAACTGCCTGGGAGAACGTTTCTGTTGTGTCCTACCAAGCATCCTCTCCAAGAAGGGCCCCAGACCAGGCTATGCTCCCAGGCAGCACCTCACACATCCCCTCCAGGTAGCATCCTCTAGCAGTGCCCCAAAGCACCCCCTCCAGGCAGGGGCCCCCAGGCAGTGCCCACAGGCACCCCCCCTACAAACAGTCCTAGGCAACAACGCTAGGCAGTGCTCTCCAAAACTGTACTTCTCCCTCACAATGCCCTCCAGGTGGTACCCCGCTCCACGGCACTTACTGGTACACATTGTCCACCAGGGTGGGGATACCAGCCTGGGCTCCATAGCGCAGCTCCTCACATGCCTCCCAGAAGCTGAGGTTCTCAGCTAGAGGGTTCAGGGTGAGTCAAGGGCTTTGAGAGTTCAAAATGGACTGGAGGCATCACAGGGTCAGGGTGGACAGGGGCTCACATCTAGCTAGAGGGGCAATGAGAGGGGGTGGGGCATAAGTTGGGCTTCTCACCACTGAACTCCTTCCCCAGAAAATCCAGGAACTGCGCCCGCCCCATAGGGTCCCCCAGGAGCTCCGAGAATTCGAAGGCCCAGCGCTCCACTCGCAGCCTCGTAGGCACGGCCACCCTGGGGGGCAGTGTTAGGGATCACTGGCTGTCCCCTGGCTACAGAACACCCCATCTCCACTATGGAACAACCTCTGCTCACGTGGGTGCATTCATAGCCCAGTAAGTGGGGTCATCTGTGATCCAGGGGTTGCTGGGCAGACACCCTGACATGATGGGATCATGTGGCCGGTACTGGCTGCTGAACTTCAGGTACCTGCAGAGGCCAGAGCCAGAGGGGCTGAATAGGGGTCCAGAGCCTCAGGGATGGAGGAGTGGTCAAGGCCATAGGGGTTAGGGTTAGGCCCAGAAGGATGAAGCTTCTGCTAGGGTTAACTCAATGTTCATGTCCCACTCACGCCTCCAGGCAGATAGAGGATTTCACCCGGGTCCTGCTCAGAACCTTTCTGCAGAGCTCCACCTGGGGGACAATGAAAGACCTGTGAGGGTTGCCTGGGCTGGGAGCCCCCCACACCCCTCCTCCACCTCCTAGGACCTACCTCCTGCTTGTAGAAATCTGTGTTCTGGTCTGCAAGAGATGGAATAGGCTGAGTCAACTGAGTGAAGAGGTAGCTCCCACCCCGACCCCGAGGGGAGGGACCCCCCCCAAGGCAAGGCCCCCCCTCAAGGCAGCCCAGCCCTCACTTGGCCCCTGCTCAGGGAAGCTCCCCTTCTCACAGGGGTATGTATGACTTTCCAGGAGGCCTCTGCAGGGCCTCTAGTCTGCAGATTTCCAGAACATTCCAAGTAGTTCTCAAAGTTGCCTGAGTTTCCCCAAAGATGATTAATATTTCACGTTTTTAGATGCATTTTAAGAATCTTTGAAACCCCACAAATACGTGAAAAAGTTGTTAGCAAGACCCTGGCTTGCTAATTTATGACCCGTTTAACTCGATGGGGAGGACAGGGAAGGAAGGGCCATGGCCACAACCCTGAGGGCCCCAGATGGCTAAGCTGGAAAAGGAGGGGGTGGCAGGCCCCTGATCTCAGCTGGACCTCCCTGCTATCTCCCCACTTGAACTGGGTACACATTACTGGTTTCTCTGCCTGTCACTCCACAAATATGCTATTCTGATTAGAGTGGGTTTGTCTTGAAATTGTCTCAGCTGTCAGCCACACTCTTTCCCTCTGATTTCTGACCTGTACCCCCAACTCCCCGCTAAGCACCCCCAACAGTGCCCCCCATGGACACGACCTCCCTCCCCGGTGTCCACTGCACTTACTTGCACCGCGGGCAGCAGGGGGAGCAAGAAACAGAGTTAGGGGAGGCAGAAGGAAGGCAAGAAGAGGTGGGTGAGACAGGAGCCCACGTCAGGACAGGGGCAGCCATGTCACATGGACGAATAGCTGAGTGCATGGACCGAGGTGGGTGGACAGTCCCCCCATTCCCCAGAACCTTCAGCCACAGTCCCAGGCAGCACAGAGAGTGGGTAGGGGGCAAGAAGGGCATGTGTTTGGGCTGCTCACCATCTGCACTCGGCTGGCAGTGCCTGAACCCCGCTCTGGACCTTGCTCCAGTACACTGGGTACCCCAGGCTGTAGAGGGAAGGGTGCTAAGGCCCCGTCCTCTGAGACTTCACACCCAGACCAACCTTTGTCTTGGAGAAGTCAGGGGCAGTCTCTTCTGCACACCCCCTTGGTAACTTCACCCCTCCTCCACTTCTCTTACCACCCTCTGGGATCTGCCTCCCATAACACCTGCTCACACTTTGTGCCCCACACCAAGATGAGACCTTAGGCCCTCAATGTCCTTGTCTCCCCTGCCCTCGAATCATTTATCTGTCCACATGTCCTTCTGGTCTGTTCTTAACACGCTAATGCCGACTCCCGTCACCACTGCCCAGAGTGAAGCTCAGCCATCACCCTGCCCTCTCCACTGGTACCCCAGATAATGGAGTGCCTGGTCCAAGTCTTTTTGCTTGGGATCCGCATCCTCCAGCACTTGTCCAACCTGCCCCACTCTCGGGTAATTTTCTCAAGCCCTCTCCAACTTGATGAGGTGACCAACCCTTTCCATGGGTTTCCCCGACAATGGACGTTAGGATGATTCTGGCGACCCCAAAGCAGACCAGATAAAGGCTGGGCCACTTCTCCTCCAGGCTCTCTCATATAGCAGGGACCCTGAGTCACCAGGGCCACATTTGCCTGCTCAGGTTCTTGTGCCCACCCTCTTGCCTCAGGTCCCCAGGAGAAGCTTGTTTCTGGGTTCTCATGGTCCACCTCATCCCCACCAGCTCTAGAATTCTGGATTCGTTGGCTAGAATGTCCGAACCGGAGCCTCCCGTACAGAGACACTGAGGGGTGGCTGGTTCGTTCAGAGTCCCAAGTGGCACCAAAGAGGGACTCACAGGGGGCCTGTTCACCAGCCAGTATGTCTGCTCCTGGCAGGCGGTGACCAGCCTGTCCCCTTTCCGACGCCGCTTAACTGCCCTGAAAAGGGAAGCTAAGTGAGGGGACTGGTCCAGCACAAGCAGCACATGGTTGGCCTGTGGCTGGGCAGGCGCAGCCACTGCTTGGCTGTAAGTCTGAGTGACTGGT